CTGCATCGGTGGAGATGGTACCCTCGCCGAGGTGATCAACGGCCTCGTGCTGAGGACTTCGAGGGATCGACAGATCGACCCCAATAATCCTGAGGCGGACTTGCCGACTCCTCGGCTTCCGATCGGCGTGATACCCAGCGGAAGTACCGATACGGTTGCTTATAGTCTTCACGGAACCACAGATGTGCAAACAGCGGCTATACATATCATCTTCGGCGACAGCGCCGGCCTTGACATCTCTTCGGTTCACAACGACCACACGTTGCTCAGGTTATACGCAAGTATGCTCAGTTACGGTTACCTGGGTGACGTGATACGGGACAGCGAGAAGTTCCGGTGGATGGGTCCCCAGAGATACGATTATTCGGGTAAGTATGAGCTAAGTATGTCTGTTTGAAGTGGAATAAAGATTTCTTTGTTCGATTGTCTAGTTCTGTGTGTTAATGATAGATAGATTATATATATTATATATTTATATACGTATACAGGAATTGGGAAAAATTTCAAAAAAGAAAATTTATTTGCAAAATTCTGTAAATAGGATTATTTCTTATTTATTATCTGTTTTAAAAGTTTATTTTTTCCCAGTCTTGGTAGATAATTATTAATTTTTTTTCTCCCTTTAGTATTTAGTGTAATATGAAAGGAATATTTGAACTATTTATCTGAAATGAAATATGAAAGAGAGAGGTCAATAAGAAAAAGAAAATGTAAAATATAGTTGTTTTGCATTGAGAATTTTAAAGAATGTGTGTAGAAAGTAGGATATGGCAGCTCAGAAAGAAATTTACGAGTTTCTTTAAGTCGAAACTTCGATGTTTTAGTTTCTGTTTTAGTTTCCTAGGAACACGTGCATGTTCGAGAAGGAAGGGAAACAAAAATTATATGAACGATAGTTATCATTCAGATTTTTGTATACTTATTTATATATAGATTTTATAACTTTTTTTATTTATACAAATATATATATATATAAATTTTTATATTCTTATTTTTATTACTAATATAATGACAAACCAGAAAAAGATAGATAAAAGGTAATAATGCAAAAAAATTTTAAATGAAGCATTTCGTGAAAGTGTTTTAAAAGATTCGTACAAATATTGTACGTAATGGCAGTACAAAGGAGAATAAGAAGATGGCGCTAGTTAATATAGTCTTAGCGCGCATTCTTGCGGGAGATTTGTGAAAGATCAAGGTAAATTATTTAAGTAGGTAAGTATGTGTCCTTTTTTTTCTGTGTGTACTTATCATTTTATGTGAAGTATGAAATTGGAAAATGCGTTTTTTCTATATAGTGAAAAATAGATCTTAGATATATTATTACTAGTTAGAATTATAACTACATATAATTTAAATTATTAATTTAAAATGGTGTGGTTTTTATAAATCTAAAATTGTAATTCAGGATTTACAATATATTTACTTTTTTTTTTGCAGGAAATATCAAGAAAGATGATACAAAGCTGTTTGAAGATTATTATTAAATGTATTATAGACATTAAGAGTTTGATACCTATTCCTAAAATTGTAAACAAAATTGTATTGATTAAAGATGATAATAAACATAAATATATTAATCTAATTAAAATAGATCTACTTTAAATATTTCCTCCATTATTTTCTAATTTCTTTCCAATTTTTGAAAGTTAATATATTTCGATTTTATTAGGATAATATTTTTCAAAATTTTCATAAATTTTATCAATATTTTTGATTTGATTAAACTTTATCAATTTACGTTCATTTTATTTAATTGTTGCAAGAAAATAAAAATATGTTATCTTTCTAATTTTTTATTAATTTCAAATATATACATACAATAATTTTTTTATAATAAATATATATTTAATCATTTTTTTTTTCTTTCACAGCCTGATAATTTATATATATATATATATATTTCTTTATTACTATCAAAATTTTATCTATACAAAAGAAATAAGAATTAATATTCGCTAAGAACTAAAAAAATTACGAAAAGAAGAATAATGAGATACATACATCGATTTGAACTCTTGAAGGTTTCAAGAAGATCCTTGGGAATAAAGGTTATGAAGGTGAGATCCAACTTCTTTCGGACCCTTGCCATCCAGCTACTAGCACAAGGTGTACAAAAAACTGCACTAGATGTCTGCAACACATGCACAACAGCAATTCGGAAAAAGAAATATCCAGTTAGTTGTATTAAATTTTATCAAATTAAATTTTTTATTTTTTTTATTATTTTTTATATTTTTTTTTATATATTTATTATTAACTTAATCTCAGGATGGATGACTGTCAGAGGCAAATTCTTCATGGTAAATGGTGCCAATCTCGCGTGTGGTTGTGCCAGAAGTCCTATGGGATTCAGTCCCCACTGTCATATTGGGGATGGTTGCGTGGATGTGATTCTAGTTCGACATACCTCGCTCTTTAACAATATTAGGA